GGCTGCGATGAAGCTACAGTGAGACATGGGTGTGGAAGAGAGCATTTTCAGAAGGATCAGTGTAAAGAGCTCATGGTCCAGCAGGCTGATGAGTGTCAGCTGGACACTTGGGAGATCTGGCAAGCAGCTGACAGAATCAAGAGCAAATGCAGAGTCTCAGGGCCAGAACCCGAGGAGCAGGCAAAGCTATCTTCAGATGGTTTCAGGCGAGGAGGAGAGCAAGGTACAGCTCAGCAAAGTGTGGCTTGTCCTGCAGCTGACCCTTCCCCTTCTATTGCCTCCATGATCCTGTTGGTGATGAGCTTTCTTTCCATCCACAGTTACTGTACTCACAGTGGACAGAGTCTGCCATAAGTCCTTTGTGTGCACAATCTCATGTACTGGCCACGGCAAGCTTAGTGACACGGCTTGGTCTGTAAGCAAGAGCTCTGAATTTCAGCTCTTGGCTAGCTTGGTTTTCCTGGGAAGTGGCATTTTCTCTGTGAGTAGGATAAAATCCCGGGAGCCCTCCTCCTGTCGGGCCCATCCTGCATGGTAGAGAGTGATCAAAGAGACTTCAGATTAAAGCTGGCTTCTCAGACTGGAGTCCCCATTGGGGGCAGATTGAGCTGCTGAGGGCTTTGATCAACAAGTGACTTTGCTAAGTCATGAGAGAAAGCTCAAATCCAATTTCCTGTGGGATGCTCTAGGGAGCTGGAAGAAGAGGGGGGAGGAGAGAGACACAGAATGCTTTTTTTTTTTCTCTAGAGACATTAACTGCATGTTTTGCCCAGCCAGGAATTACTGAGCAGAACATCAGCTTTACAAGATGTAGGGGACAGCGAACTGAGGTCCTTGGGTACTTGTCACAGATTCCTCTGCAGGATGAGGACCCCCAATTTTCTGGTCAGCAATAAAGGCAGGTTATATGTTGGCCGAGATGGAGGTGTTTATAGGAAACAAATGCTCAGGACTTCTGTTCTTGATAGGGGGGCCCAGCCCCAGACCTGCTCTCAAGGAAAACCAAGCAAATGGAGATGAGATTTCTGAGATGCTGGCTAGGGAAGCCATCTCAAGAGGTAGGACCTCTGGTCTGGTTCCTGAGAGAATGAAGAGAACCCTGCAAAGGTTGACAGGAAAAGAGGTCTAGGAATCTGCAAAGGCAAAAGCCCAGTTCTGGTTTCCCTTCTGGTGCTGTGATAAAACACTGACCAAAAGCAATTTGTGGGTGGGGGTGGGGCAAAAGGGAGTAGTTTGGCTTATACTTCCAGGTCACAGCCTGTCGTTGGAGGAAGTCAGTGTAGGGGCTCCAGGGAGGAATCACAGAAGAAGGCTGCTTGCTCTCTCTCTAGTGCACTCGTAGCCTTGTGTTCCTCTAGCTTTCTACAACTCAAGACCTCCTGCCGAGGGGACCTCACACTGTAGGCAGAGCCCTTCTACATCAATCAACAACCAAGGCAAGCCCCTGCAGACACGCGCACCTGCTAATCTGATCTAAGCAGTTCTTCAGTTGAGGGTCCCCTGTCAGACAGCTATAGGCTGTGTCAAGTTCACAAAGCTAATGTGGGTAGGCCCTGAGGTAAGGCTGTCAGGTGTGTCTGTAAAAACCAAGGCAACTTGAGAGGGTGAGAAATGGCGAAATCTAGGCTCCCACTGAGCTAAGGAGTCTCACGGGTTATTGGTGTGTGTGTGCGCACACATGTACGGGGGTGGAGGACAACTTTGGTGTCATTCCACAGGCACCTTCCCCCCTCTCTTTACTTTGCTTGACCAAAGAGCTTCTAGGGCTCCACCTGTCTCCATCTCCTTTATCATTGGGATCATGGGTATGCACTTCCGTAACCCTAGCTTTTCACTTGGGCTCTGGAGACTGGATCTCGGGTCCTCCCACTTTGCCAGTGCTTTGCTGACCGAGCCATCTCTTCAGTCCTCTCATGGCTTATTCTAAGGTGAAGGGAAGGCACAGTGTTTGTAGCAGGATCATGACAGCCGGTGCAACCTAAACTGCGCCCGGGGACGGGGAAGCACTGTTATCTTAACCACACCAAAGCTGCATACTCATGGCAGCATGGGTGCTCAGCATTACTCACAACTGGGGAATGGCGGGGACAGCCCACAGGTCCATCACCAGAGAACTGGATAAACAAACTGTAGGGTATGCCTGTGTGACTTCTCCTGGGAAGGTGTGAGTAGCTGTCTGGCATAGATAGGACACTGACAAAATACCAAAGAATGATTCCACCCAAGTCTAGCTTAGGAAGCCAGTTGGCTGTTTGGGCTGTTTGCAGAGGCATCACTGACAGCTCATGCACGCTGGAGCTCTGCTCACAACCTGAGAGCAGCATGGTTGATCCTGAAGACTTCCCGGATTATTACAGCTTATGTAACTCTGGGGAGGGACCTTGGCATTTTGTAACTTTCTAAATTTCCTGAGTCTTCTAAGACTCATTTACTTTCTGAATCTTAGACGCATCCCTCATTCTCATTCTCCTGGGGGAACACACATATATAAACACACTAAAGAAATGTAATGAAAGTGTTTTTTCAATGGTTAAAATGGTAATAAAAATTGTTATGTATATTGTAGGACACTACAAAATTTTGTTTTTTTTATTTTATTTAAATTTATTTAAAAAATTTATTCACTTTACATTTTGATCATAGCCCCCTCCCTCATCTCCTCTGGTCCCACCATCCCTCACTCTTTTCTCCCATCATCCTTCCCTAGTCCTCAGAAAGGGGGAGTTCTCTTCCCCCATCTGACCCTAGCCTATCAAGTCTCACCAAGACTGCCTGCATCCTTTTCCTCTCTGGCCTGGCAACCCTCCTCCCCACCCCACCCCCCGCAGGGGGAAGTGATCAAAGAGCAGGCAATAGAGTCCATGTCAGAGATAACCCCTGCTCCCCTTACTAGGCCACCCACACGGAGATTGAGCTGTCAATCAGCTACATCTGAGGAGGGGTCTAGATCCTCTCCATGCACCGTCCTTGGTTGGTGCATCAGTCTCTTCAGGCCCCCCATGGCCCCAGATTTTTTGGCTCTGTTGGTCTTCTTGTGGAAATCCTATCCCCTCTGGGTCTTTCTATCCCCCTGACTCTTTCATAAGACTCCCTGCGCTCTGCCCAAAGTTTGGCTGTGAGTCTCAGCATACAAATTATTTTTAAAGACATTTGTTATTTATTGAGTGTGTGTGTGTGTGTGTGTGTGTGTGTGTGTGTGTGTGTGTGCTTAAATGAATGGCTGTGTACCACATGTGTGCAGGGGCCCACACAGCCCAGTAGAGATGCCCTGGAACGAGAGTTACAGGCAGTTGTGGGTGATGTGTGTGCTGTGTCTTCTGGAAGAGCAGCAAGTGTTCTTAACCACTGAGCCATCAGTCCCTAAAAGTTTTTTCAAAAGATGTAAGGGTCGGAGCTATAGACAGGAGAACGGTTAGAGGGTACACCTAGGTAAAGGTGATAAGGCAAAGGTTCTGCTGTAGGACTGAGTGCCTACCATGTTCTGATGAAAAGCAAGGAGGCTGGGTTTGCGGAGACGTGGAGGATGAGGTGATTTCCCTAGACATAGAGGTGTGTCTCCTGACATAGATAAAGAGTTTTGTTTGCTTTTTGTTCAAGGGTCTGTATTGTCAACAGCACACGGAGGAACACACAAAGCTAGCAACAGAACCAGAGAAAGAAGGGCCAGGCAGCGAGGGAGATGACTGTGGAGTCTGCAGTGGAGTGACCCAGCCGTGATGTCAGGAAAATCACTGCTCAGCCTAGAACCAGAACTATCAGGGTAGAATTTAGGACACTGGTCCCAGGACAGGGGTGGGTAGTCAGAGGGCTCAGTGGCTTCGCTGGAGAAGCAGAGGATCAAGCGAACGCATGCTCCCGAAGGAAGGTTGGCAAAGAGGAAAGCAGAGAGCAGGGCATTGCCCCTGGGCATCCGGGAGCACGCTGTTAAAAGACAGGTACTGAGCGCCTGGAGGAGGATCCCGCAAGCTTCCTGAGGGTCCATGTCCAAGGCTCAGAAGCGGACTTATTTGGACAAGTCGCCCCTGTTCTGGCCCGCACAACTGAGCTTTCAGCGATGCAGCTCCTCCCTCTGTCCGTCCCCCCCACCCCCCACCCCCACCCCGCACCAGTGCGCCGTCTGCTTTTTCTTGCTCCTCACGCCTGGTCACTGTCTGGTCCACTGTGGGCACTCGCTGATGGTTTGAATTCGAGAAAGGACACTAGGTTTCGGGAACGTGCTCTGGGCACTGTATCCCGAAGCACACTTGGGACTGGACGGAAGTCTAAGTCCACCGTCTTGGATGTGCCTGAGAACAGCTCTCGCAAGGAGAGCTCCGGTCACCTCCTCGTTGGTTTTGCAAAGAGCTCAGATTGGCGACAGGGCATCCAGCACTCCGCAGCTTCCAGAGGAGGAAGAAGAAAACCAGGTCGCCTATTGAGCTATGCGCAAGGTGCCCTCTGCACACAGGTTGCGCGGAGTCCCTAGGTCAAAGACTGGTCTGGTCTGCATGTCCCGGGGCAGAGCCAAGAAAAGAGTGGGCTACAGTAGTGCCCCAGCGCTGTAGGTTGCAGCGTGTCTGCCCAGCCCCGGCGCTCTTGCGGTCTGAGGGCTGGCGGAGAGCCACGCGGGTTCCCTGGGGCGTCCCCGATCGCGCGCCCCGGGGCCCCAGGCGAACGCCCAACTCCCCAACTCCCGGACTTTGGCAAAGCTGTAGCGGGCGGGGAGCGGCAGAGAAGCGGGACGCACCATCACGGCCCTCGGGGGGAGAACAGTCGAGAGCCCGGGCCCTCGTGCACCCTGAAGGCCGGAGATTCTCAGTAAGTAGGTGGACGATTGAAGGATGGAGGCGCATAGGGTTCAGCGGTGCATCTCTCGGCGGAAGGCGAGGTGCAGGAAGTGGGATGAGATGCCGAGGGATGGTGGGGCTGGGACCGCACCCCCACGGCGGCGACACGGTGGAGGCGTCCGGCTCCCCCGCCGGCGAGCAGCGGAAGTGCCGCGGAGTTGGAGCGGGGCCGGCGCCGCGGCCGCTTCTGCTGGCCGAACTGCTGCCGCCGCCGGGCGGACGGGCGGACGCGCAAAGCCGGGGGCGAGCGCGGCGGGGCGCGGCGGGGCGGACCGGCCCCGATGAGGCGCAAAGAGAAGCGGCTCCTGCAGGCGGTGGCGCTGGCTCTTGCGGCCCTGGTCCTTTTGCCCAACGTGGGGCTCTGGGCTCTGTACCGCGAGCGACAGCCCGACGGCAGCCCAGGGGGATCAGGGGCGGCAGTGGTCCCCGCGGCGGTACAGGTGAGTGGTCCGCGGCCGAGGGTCGGAGCACCCTCTCCCCGACTTCGCCCCCACCCTGCAGTTCCTTGCTCCACCTGTCCTTCGCGTCTGCTCCGAGTCAGAGCTTCCCATTTTGGGGATGGGAACATCGAGGCTTAAGACTTATCCAGCCGCCTACTCCAGCCTAAAGCAGTGTTTAGCCCTAGGCGCTTTTTCTAGTTTACCCCGCTCCTCTTATTGCGGTCTGTACCAGCATCTCCACCCAGGATGGTTCTCTCTGAGGTACTGGTCGTTGTTGGTGTTCTTCAGACCGTCTCTGTCCCTATCCCACCATCTTCACTTGCTGGTTCTAGTGTTTCGACTCAGACTAGACCCCTTCCTGGTTTGCCGCCTGGAGCTTCTGCCCTCCCTCCCTCCTTCCTTCCTTTCTTTTTGCCTACCCGGAGCCTCTGTCTTTCTTCCTTCCCTCTCTTCTTTCCTTCCTTTTTCCCCTCCTTTCATGTGTATGTGTGCCTTGCCTGGTACCTGTATGTCTGCACCTCATGTATTCCTGGTGCTCCCTAAGGCCAGAAGAAGGCATAGGATCCCCTGAAACTGGACTTACAGGGGGCGCTGAAACACCATGTGGGTGCTGGGAATCAAACCTGGGACTTCTGGAAGACCAGTCAGTGCTCTTAATTGCTGAGCCATCCCTCCTCCCAGCCCCCACACGACCCAGCCTCTATCTTAATCGGATTTTGTGCCTCTTTTGAGACTCCTGAGCCGATGCCCCAGAGGAGGTTGGGTAGTGACTGTCTGTCGTTCAGCTTGCAGGCTTTGACATTGGGGGAGTTCAGAAGCCACATAGAGGCTCTCTGGTAGAAGGTTCTCCAAATGTCTGAGAGCCACAGGTGTCTAATGCCCCCAGGACAGAACACATCCAGCCTTCCTTCTTTGTACTAATGAGATGTATTTCTTGTAGACAAAACTGGGATGGTCTGTGTTCTCTCTTTCTTTCTCTCTCTCTCTCTTTCTCTCTCTCTCCCTCTCTCACTCTCTTTCTGTGTATGTGTGTGAATTCGCGTGTACTAGCAGCCTCCTGGAATAGATAAGCTCCATCACTTTCTTCTGATCATCCCAGCTCCTGGCACACATGGGCATACTTGAATTGTTTCCTCTAGTGTGACGTTTCAGAGTTGCTTCTGGGATTTCCTAACCCCACGGGAAGTGGGCAGGTGTGCATCAGGGTCAGCCTTGACTGATTGCTGGCTGGCCTTGAGGGAAGAGGCTGACTTCTTGAGATTGATGGCTATACCCCCTTTCCTTCCAGCATTAGACTGCCATCTGGGCATTCTGGCTTCGGGGGCACGGAAGACTCTTTGCTACAGAGCTAATCAATTTGAACTTGGCTTGTCTCTCTGGTAATTTGTAAATCATCCTAGAGGTCTGGGTGATCTATCTATTTGGTAGATCTCACTGTTTGGAAAGTTGGGAAACTCCATTCCTAAATTCCTGGCTCAAATTTTGAAAGCCAGTTGAGACCTCTCTGCCTTAAACTCTGTACGGGTGGAGTTTTCCTGTGGGGAATCTCTTCCCTCTGTTACTGGCTCGTGTGGCATCAGCGACAGGAGGCCACCGTTCTTAGCTCAGCTGTTAATTTGCTGGGCATTGATGCCTCTGGCCTCCCTCTCTGAGCCTTGCTTGCTCTGTGTGTATGATTGGGGAGTGTACCAGCGGGGAGTGGGGCAGACCACTTCTTTTTCCTTTCCTGAGGTCCCTTATCGAATTCCTACCTTGGGATGCCCTGTTGGACATGGCCCTGGCTGGGCGGGAGGTGGGGGGGGGGTTGTTTTGTCCAGCCAGGTGTAGACTCTCCTGTGAAATAGCTGTGAGCAGTTCTAAAATAGCTCTTGACATTCTGCCTCAGCTCGGAGAGAGCCCTCATATGTCACTTGCCACGAAGGCCAGAGACATTCTAATGTTCATTTTCTGTAGACCCAGATGTATACCAAGAAGGTCAAGGTTAACTGTCAGTTTGGCCTTAGCTTTCGAGGTAAATTACTCACTGTACAAGAGGGTATTGATGTAGTAAGGCCACCTCTTGAGCAGAGAGAGAGGAGCAGCTACTGCGTGCCTCTTGGAGGCGCTACCTGGACCTCCCTGAGAGGGCTGGTCTAGGCGCTCTGGTTTTCTGTCTGCCATAGAAGGGAGGAAGAAATGGTGAAGGGGTTCAGGAGGGCTTCTATGTGATTATCCTTGCTTCTTGGGGGGTCACAGAAGGGACCTGTTTCCCAAGGATGGGCCCCGGTAGGTGTGGCAGGATTCCGCATTCATGGGCCGCCTTTCTGGACCGCTCTGCCAAATTTCCACACAGCCCCTTTGTACTCCTCGATCCTGCAGATGCAGAGCCCTCCCGTCCCTCTTCTAAATGTCAGCTGGCCTCCAGAAAAGACGCTGGCTTCTCCCACTCCTCCATATCAGGTGGCTAGCTGGGAAACAGCCTTCAGCACCGAGAGTTAAAGGCCAACTTTGGCTACGTGAGACCTTGCTCTGGAAAAACACCTGTTGGGACTTTATCCCCTTGAGAGATTTTGGTGGCTCTTCCGTGAGGTTACTTATCTCAGTTTGAGCAGTCCTCTGATGCCCTATGATGCCTCATCCCAATGCTGCTGGAGCCACCAGGCAGGACATTTGATTTGTAAAGCCCACGTCATATACTCGGGCTCTAGCTGGTCACACAGAAGGCTGCAGAATCCAATAAGGAAAGCTGCCCTCAAGGCCATTTTTATTTTAACTTGGGGATCCTTCTCTTCCCCACACCCTAGGAGGCCTGACATCTTGGTTTAATTCTACGACTGGTTTCATCTTGCAGGCTTGGGAGCTCGTTTTTTAAAATCCCCCAGTAGGAATCCTGGTGTAGCTCCTCCCCACTTCTGAGCCAGGAACTCTCGTGGGAAATGGCTTCCCTGGGTAATGGCATCTGTTCGGTAGAGATTGGTGAGATCGTGGAATACTGGTGTCTGTGATTTTTAAGTATCTGTTTGGTTTTTTTTTTCTCATTATGTCAGAGCTGAACTTTATTCTTGGAACATCCCAAAATCAAAACTTCCCCCTCTTTTCAGTCTGCTCGGTAGTAGAACCTTACCCGTCAGCAAGTTAAGCACCATGGCAGTGTGGTCTGGAGTGGTTTCTTTGCTTTTCCAAAGAGGAGCTGGTATCCATTAGATTGCTAATCACTTCTCTGTCAGCTTGCCCAGATGAAATCTGATGCCACGAGGGAAGGGTTCTTGACTTACCAGGGCAAATATGCCTCTTCCTTCTCCTCCTGGGCCTCCTGTCTGCCAAGGAATCCACATTGAGGAAAGCCTGGGAGGAAAGTCTGACTTTTGGTTCTCTCTTGCCCTGATCCCATTGAGACCTCAGAGAAGTGGTTTAACCTCTCTGGGCCTGGTATTCCTCACCTGTGGAATGCACGTAGATTCAGAAAGGAGGGAGGCATTATGGCCCCCACCCACCCATGGCCAGGGCAGGCATTCCTAATCAATAGTTACCACCAATTCTAGACTTGGCCTCAGTCTGTTGCTCAGCAGGGCTTCTCAAGTGGGGTTGCTGGCATTGTTTTTGATGTGGGAAATAGATGTTTTGTTATGGCTTTTCCGAATCAGACATCCAAGGGTTCCGTGAGTTTTGTGTAGGAAAGGTCTAGAGTCAAGCCGAAGCCCCGACTTAGGTGTTTGTTCGTGTTCTAGCTTCTTCTCTCAGGCAGCTTTTGTGTGTGTTGGCTCCGGTGACAGATAACAGATAATGGAACCAGGGATGGGAACGAAAAGGCCTATTTAGAAGATAACCATCTAGCTCGCTAATTGTACCTTGTCTACAGCTGGCTCTTATTCAGAAATGGCATCCAGGATGTCTTTTGTCGCTTTATAAAAGGCACCTGGAGGTGAAGGGCGCCCTGTGAGAGCTCACTGCTCTTCACGGTGGCACCTCTGTTTTGCATAGCCCTGGTCCTCACATATTCTGGGGATATGTGACGAAGCAGGGGGTTGGTGTAAGAATCTTGCTTCTCCTGAGAACCACTGTTCTCATGTCTGGGAGAGTGGGGGCAGAAAGTAGATTCTACAGGTCTGAGTGCCCGTGGGTTCCACGGTGGCCTTCCTGCCCTGAAATATCTGGAGACCAGGAAGGTAGAATGTGTTTATTGAATGACTGAACTCGTCAAGTCAGGCGGGGGCGTCAGAGGACCCCTAGACGAACCCCCTTTATTTTTGTCTGATGGAAACTGAAGCCCCGGAGGGGTTGATCACTTAAACAGGTTCTCACAGGAGGAATTCAGGCCGGAATGCAGTGCTCAGAGGTTCACGCTCCGTTTCACAGCCGAGGATTTTCCTCTACAGACTAATATTTGCGCCTTCTCTGCCATTATTTCCCCTGAGAGCTAAGATGTTCTCGCCGAGTCCTGGAGGCCGGCAAATAAAATGAATTAAACGTTAAGGCTGTGAAGGGACCCAGCTTGGGGTAGAGGGATTCAGAGGTGTGTGTTACTGTCCTCAGAAGACTGAGCTAACTGGTCCTCAGAGCCCCCTTATGTTCTGTTCTGTCTCTATTTTGAATAACAGTGGATTCAGCCTGAAATGATACAGAAGCTCACAGACTCCTGGTTCTGAGTATTGGGTGATCTGGGTTCTCCTGCTTCTGGGTTTTTCTCTGTTAGCTCCGACCTAGACCGAGTCCCTGTGGGAGCAGAACATGATCCTGGAAAAGAGTCTGTCTCCGGCTGCCTGTGTAGAAGAGAAGAAACTGCCCTTCCTTTGATCCCTAGCCGGTCTTCCTATCCCAGGTTGGGGTTCTCCGTGCTCAGAACCTGTGACAACCACACGTCTGCCGGTGTACCCCGTCCGTGCTGGAGCTGGGCGTGGGTTGGTCTCCTCAGGTGGGAGAAAGAATAGCTCCCTACAGAAGAATCTGAATACTCATGGGAGAGAGATATACCCAGAGCAGAAGTCAGTGCGTCTACCCAGGGTCCTGGGGTGTCGCCCCAG